CGCGGTCCCAGGTCCTTACATATCAAAGAGATTTATGGTAAAATCGCTTGTGTATCGTGTATTTTGCGAAACTCGTTGTTGTCGTTGGTTCCGGGTTTGAATGGATACACAAATTTGAGCAACGGTATTATGTGATATGAGGGACTCGGTGGCCTTAGAGCAACCGTTTTTGCTTACTGAGCAGAACATCATGAGTCTAATCTCAGGCCCATCCACATTCAAGATTCGTCAATCGTTTTATTTGTTAATATGACTACATGGTAATAACAGCAACTCGGTGATTAAAAAGGTGCTCGTCTGCCTAGTGGCAAACGTTTTTGCTTACTGAGCAGAAGACCGTGGGTTTAGTCCCAAGCTCCTTCGCGTTATATGATCGTTAGGACATCAATTCAGCTTATCGTTTACCAAAACGAACCCTGCTGCAAACCCAACCCTCTTATCCAACATCCCAGTGATTCCATCAAAGCGAGTGTCATGTCAACACAATCCTTCCCATTCCTTTCTTGACCTGTGTTCGGGCGTGGCTGGCGCTGGTATGGCCTAATTTAAGAACACCAGTTTTTACACATTGAGGATGTCCCAAGCATCGTCTATTGGTTCTCTGTGTAATTACAGCTGATCTGGCAGTAACAGAGTAGCAACCGTGGGCGGTCAATCAAGCTCAAGCAAGCTCAAGCTCTCGAGTTGTTTGGATGGGTTATTCAAAAACATTTGATGTAAAGCGAGTACCCCCATTCCCTTCCCTACTCTTTTGGTGCAATATACAATTTCAGATAAATATCTGATATTCACCCCTCATATGTTGACAACCATCAAGCAAGCAACTCCTCGTTGTATCTCATCTACTTCTGCGTTTTCTATATGCGGGTGGCCCTAATGGCAGTAAAATATTTCAAATAAAAGCTTTATATAGAATTTTAAAATTTTCCAACTGCTAATAGTTCAAACAACATCTCCTCACTAACAAATGCACGGACAAGTGGATATTAAATATTTACACTACAACAATTTTCGTTTTAAAAACTATTTATAGAGTAAGCTGAAACACCTCCCCCACCCCGCTCTCTAACAACCCTAATGAGATTGAGCAAATGTTTTTGAATAATTTATCTGAACATACCAAATCGATAAGATAAGAAAATTCGAAGTTATTTCAGTTTGAAACTTCACTTATATTGATATGAGTGAGGGAGACGGGATATATTATTACCTCCTCCCCCCCCCCCCCCCTCCCATCCAACTACACATATGAGATAGAGCAATTGTTTTTGAATAATTCATCTGAACATACCAAATCGGCAAGATAAGAAACTCCGAAAATATTTCAGTTTGGAATTTGACTCCCATTGGTACACCGGCAGTGTTGGCAGAAAAGGGATTTTTGGTGTTTAAATCAAACCACAAATATTTGAATAGTTACAACTTTTTTTAGATACATTATAGCTTTGTTCTTCCTTTGGCAAAGTTGTTAGGCACTTCCTGGACTATATTTGAAAATTGTGGTCTCTAGGGATAAAAATGCAAAAAAGTTGGTTTTCCCATACTAATTTCCATACAAATTTTAAACGCAATGTCGGGTCAATGTCGGGTCAACATCGGGTTGGGGTTTGATAGAAGTCAGGTTGGTGTCGGGTTGGCTTAGCTTTTTCGCCGGATTGTCGACCAGAGCTCCGTTTGTGTGTAGGTTACACTCAATTGAATGATATAGGGTTAACTACCCCATTTCCGGCCTATTTAGCCCAACCCGTACTTAGTCTTTCTTAATCTAGTGCAGGCAAAAGGTGTGCGTTTGACTTTGTACTGTCGCATTAATGGCCCTTCGCTCATTTTCAACTTCTATTCACTTTTCATACTGCCGTACTCTAACGGAACTATACACCTACCCTCTTCTAAGATCATTATCTAGCTAATAAATTATCACACTAAAGCTTCATGTTAGATAGCATTTCCAATCAACTCTGAAAATCGCAAACACTTTGTCTGTGAAATACTGTCAAATACCGATCAATGTGGGTTTTTTGGAATCGGGCTGACATCTAGAAGCCAATAATCGATGTCCGACGCCATCTTGAAATTCAAGATGGTGGCTTCCGATTTCAGAAGAAATGTCACATAGCCTACAAATGGTATTGAAAATCAATTTTCAGCATCTACGCGTCGTCCCCGTTCCGAAAATACCCAGATGACCGCCATATTGGATTCCAAAATGGCATCGGATATCGATTTTCGGCATCTACGCGTTGTCCCTGTTCCGAAAATAACCATATTATATGCTCAGAAATTGTCCTAAATACCCAAGATTTCAGTATGCTCATTGTTCTGGAACTATTCAACAGCTCAACACGCAACAGATATGAATTTCTTCAAAATTCCCTGATATTCTTGTTCAACTTGAATTTCTTTGATAATATACGAACTTTCCTGAAGTTCTGCGAGCTTTTCTGATGTTTTGCACATTGCTGAAGTTCAGTGAACCTCTCTGAAATTCTGCAAAGTTTTTGATGATCTACGAATTTTTCTGAAGTTCTCCAAAAGTTATCTGAAGATAGACAAAGTTTCTTTGAAGTTTTGCAAATTTCTCTGAAGTTATGCGAATTTCCTTGATGTTCTGCCTATGAACTTTCCTGAAGCTCTGCAAATTTTTCAAGTTTCATGAAATCGGAGAAGGTCATGTCAGATAGATTCGACGACGCTCGACAGCCCTATGGGGTTGTACGCAATTGTGACGTAGAACTACGTGGTCTTATATAATAAATCTCATTTGTTAACTGCAACAGGAGCTTGTGTTTTGTGTAGGAATAGGAATTTGAGTGGGGTTCTCTCTGTTTATACTCTATAGTATGACGTGCTTGACAAAGATGGACCCGGGACGGGACTTGACAATCGAGCTTCTCACTCTTCTTAATGTTTTAAATGAATGCCCTTCGGAAAGTTGTGCGTGGTCTTTGACGGAGTTGACCGATGATGCCAGGAATGTGAAATATTTTTTTCTATTTTGCATTTTATTTGGAGTTTCTGTTGCAGTTTAGCAGCGTGTACATAATTTTTGCTCAACACAATAAAAGCAACCATAAACAAACAACAATATCCATCACTTAAAAAAACGCAGTACACTCAATTTTTCAACATTCCTTTAGCATATATTAACAATTATTCCGGAGTGATTTGAGATTTGGGCGTAATTGTATTTGTAAACAAACACGTCAATCACCGATTTCTCGCGAATAAAAGCTCAATCTCGAAAAGTAATAACACTATGAGGTAGAGGAATGATTCCTCTATCATTTGGTATAGTTGGTTTGTGAGATTGAGCTTTTATTCAAGAGAAATCAGTAATTGACGAATTTGTTTACAAAAGCAATTACGCCCAAATCTCACTCCAGAATGAACAACGCCATTGACGTCAACATTGATTCCGGCATCACTGTCAGCCAGTTTGATGCGATCCTTCTGTCGTTTTTATTTCACGGTTGTCAAATCAACCAATCAGAAACTGGCTCTGATTTGACAGCAAATTGGCTTGAAATCGCTACCCGATTGTCAAGTCCCGTCCCAGACCATAGCGACTCAAGAAGAGCTACTGATTCCGATCAATAGCGGTGCGGCTTCTTTCTACTTCTATGGATGCTCATGTGCGATGCAGCACGCTGCTTGCAGGCAGCTTTCCGTTGTGTACTGGAGAACAATGTTCAACGCCACGTGCCCAAAGCACTGCTGCTGCTGATGCTGATGATGCCCACGACCGGACACCACCACACACGGTGATTGAATAAGCACCATTTGGTGAGGTCGGATGCTATTCAACTTTGAAATCTGTGTTATCATAGCAACAGTTGCACATTCGTGCAATTTTCAATAGTGACATTTTGAAAAATGGTTAAGTATTAAATTTAACAGATGCGTAGAAATATTTCTGATCGGTTGGTGATAAAATTATTGAAATTAGTCCAGGGGCAGCTGAGTTATTAACGCTCCAAATCTTTCATAATTTTGTTACATGTTCCATTTTTGGTTTTCACAAAGTGTACCCCCATATAGAAACCACAGACGTAGTCCTACGTCAAAATCACTTGAAGGAAAAGCTCTTTCCGAGAATCCAGGCCCAAGTAACAGTTTTTGCTTCATCTGTTATTTTTGGCTTGTAAAACCTCGAATGTTGATGGGGAGAGGACGATCTTAATATATCGTGAATGTTGTTTGAGGATGGCACGTAAGAAACGTTCTTTCAAGGAAATATTTCTAGAAATCTTTCAATAAGTTTAAAAAAAATATTCAACAGTATTTGAAGCGACATTTGAGTAAGGTCCAAAATTCAGGTTAAAACTAGTCCTACCCCCAACCTGTGCACGCGAGTGGTCATCATAACCGAAAGCAGTTAACCGTTGTCGTTCCAGGTATGATTACTAACCTACGGTTGTTGACGCACATTTTGTAATTTACTCGAACAGATGATGAAGAGGGAAACAAAGAGAGGGAAGATGAAAAGTGACGATAGAGATTTAAGTAGTGGAGAAGGGGGGTGGGGGTTGGAAGTACAAAACATTAAAGAGATTTTTTCTGGTACTCGTTCATGCTGTACATTGGCCTAAACTGCATGCTTTCAACATTCAGGAGAGAACGGAGTTGGAGTATCGCATTTTGTGTTCGTTCATAGGCTGGTATGTGGAAGTGGATTGTTTAGTGTGTTTTTCCCTTCTGCTAACGTGTGTGTGTGTGTGTGTGTGTGCGCTCTACTTTCCAGGACAAATGGGGTTTTGTTCCCACACACTTAAGGCGTAGAGTGTTGTTGGTAGAACAAAAAAAACAAGTGGAACCAAAACAATTAAACCGTAAGGATGAGTGAAAATCAAAGAAAACTAACTATAGAAAGAAAGAGACCCGCATTTCGAGTTATAACGGGCGAAAGAATCGTCTAATACGGGCGCGCTCTACATGTACATACATCGAGAAGGAGAGAGAGATAGTGACGTATTCCGGCAGCTTGGAATGCCATTACTTACTCGGTCTGGGTCGGCGCTCCGGTTGCGATGGGGTCGTGGCCGTAGTAGGCGTCTTCTTGTTGTGCGCTTTGGCTGCCGAGGCAGCGGTTGAGGAAGTGGCAGTGCTACCGGAGCGAATCTGACGCTTCGGTGAACCTCCTACGACGCTGGGTACGCTGGGTACGCTGGCATCGGGTGCAACGGTCGGACCGACCGATTGCGATCGTCCTAAAAATTGAAAAGCAAAGCTTAGACTCTTTGTTCATTTCGGGAGATCCTACCGCAGAACGAACCTTTATTGGATATCTTCTTGGGGCTGCTCTTCTGAGGGCTACCCTTCTGAGGGCTTCCATGCCGCGAGAGACCCGTCTTCTGTGGACTTCCCCGCTGGGGACTGTCACCCTTGGATCGGGGAATCGCTGGCATCAGTTTCTCCCGAGTGGGTGATGGTAGCAGAGCTCCCTCCTCGGCATCCGGACCCGTAGTGCGCTCCAAGTGGTGTCGAATGTTGTCCTTTCGGCTACGGGAAAACGCCAATCCGTCCGGAAGGGTCTTGCCGATTTCGACTGGCCGTGCACTGCCGGGAATCTTACCGCGGCCCGGAGCGTACGGCTTCGTTGGTGAACTCTTCTTGTTGTTTTCCTTCTCCTTCTCCTCTTTGGTGATGGGTCTGAAATTAATTATGCTTTTAGTAAACTTGCTCCTAGTCATATATAATATCAACGTAGTGGGCACAACTCACCTGACACTGGACGCCAGCGACAGGGCACTCAGCGAGCTTCGCCTGGACACCTGTTCCCAGAGCTCTTGCTGCTTGTTGAACAGCTCCGGATTGATCTCTCCGCCCCATCCTCGGTTCTGTAACCAAAATCGGACAACATCATAATTCAATTCTGTATGTAAATAACGAATCCTGCCTTACCCTGTATTCACCGGCTTTCTTCCGCAGTTCCAGCACTTCCTTGTACCAGGCGCTATCCATGGCGGCACTGTTCCGCAAGGCGGCTCCTCCGTCCGCTTCCGGTTCGAAACCGTATCGCTCCTTCTCCGATTTGTATGCCTTCAGCTTGTGCTCGACCACCATGTCGCGTCTTGCGGGGGGGGGGGGGACGAAAAATTAGAGTTACCGCGTTATTGTCATTGAAAACAGAAGAAACGCATTTAGCAAAATTGGTTGATTTGTTGGAGTGATTTTCCAAACCCCCCTCTCTTGCTAGGATGCAGGGGGGAGATGGTGGGCTGTAAAAGTGAACCATAATTACTTTTCATGCTGCGGCTTTTCGGCGTCGACGTCGTTCACCAGCGGTTCCAGTTCGTGAGCGTTCGCTGCAAGTGGGTTAGATGGAGGTGAAACAGAAAGGAAATATAAAAACAAAGAGGAAGAGAACAAGATGAAAAGTGAAATGTTCCGTTAAAAATCACCGACAAGAACGCTAGCAAGAAGAAGTCATTAAATCATACATATATAGAGAGAGCAACATGTAACGTGATGCAGAAGAGTATATACGGTAACTAGCAGTATATTTTTTTTGTTTTGGTTTGAAAATTTAGTACAATACTGATCGCTGGCATGTAACTGTTATAATCCGAGGTGGAAAAAAAGGTACCTCGCAAGAGCAGAGAGGGGGCAGACATTGGTCGCTTGCATGTTTCTAGTGTGGTTTATTATTGCTGGGATATCATCGGTTTCTATGAAGGGTGTGTATATGTTGGTAATGCAGTATTGTTTCCACGGGGACTCAAGGACTTTGGTCTTTTTTTTCTAATGGCACGTGGTAAGGGGTTAATTACTCGAGGATTACTACGGATAATCACTTAGTAAAGATCCTATTAATAATGGCAGTGCGGCAGGTATGACACGTCAGTAACAATTTGTAATACAGGTTAATTAAGTGTGAAACAAACCACCCAAAAATAAGGCAGCATTTTCGATTGGATTACGAGTAGATTACAGTGCTGAGTCTGAGAGTGAAATAAGTTCCTTGAACAACGTTTCGGGAATTTAAAAAGATATTCTGAGGTCTTCCGAGGACATTTGGAGTTTCAAGCAGTGCTGAGATTTGTCATTGTCATTGACAGACTTTCGCGCGTATTGACGAAATTGTATTTCACATTCAGTGACTAGACTTTATCCTCAAAAAACCATTGTTAAAAACTTATTCATTTTTTCGTCAATGACAAAGATTCACCTGGTAACAAAAAGTGTAATTTTGTGCATTCTGAGTTACATTATTGTTATCCAAGACGTTCAGGACATAGATGCTTGTTCACTTTAACGGCTTAACGTAATTGTTTTGCTCAACTAATTTAAATCCGTTTCAAGTTTAGCTAATACAAAAATCTGCACATGTTCGTCACTGACAGCATTGTCATTGACAATTGACATGGTTTGCTTTGACGATGACTGTTAGGCTCAAATGAGTGACCAAAGAAAAATTTTGAACATCGCTGCGTATTGTCGAGATTTTTCAGCGCTGGTTTCAATACTTCATTTGGTGCTTTTATGGTGAAATGTGCAAAAAGATCTAGTACAAAACATGTCACAGTTATGATACAAATACTACATTACGCCTTTTTTTCGATATAAGGGCGACAATGGCGATAAGGTCCATCAGCCGTTTTTAAGCCTATTTGGCATTATAATGTCCGTTTTAACGTTGAACATTGCCATTGTACCGTTTTAACAACGATTCGATGGCCTATTCCAGGCTAAATTAGTGGTTTTGTGGTCATTTTGGTGGATTAAAGGTCATTTGTGTGTTGTAAAAGCCTTTTTACTTGACCAAATTAGTACGATTCGGCGAATTTATGACCCTTTCGGTGATTATTTTGGCGAATTTAATGATCATTTTTCCGTTTGACAGTGTAACTTGCTTATGTCAAGGCCTATTCAGAAAGAGTTGTACTAATAAAAACACAGCACAATAAAAAAAGATCAGATATTTATATGGTGATGCGGTTTGTATTTGGACCAATCCAGCATTTTAATCAACTCAAATATTTGGCATCATTGGATGTTATTCAGACCAGGCCTGGCATGGTCAGGGCCGTTTTAACCACCCTTGGGACCCCTGGTCTATTTTTTAAGGTGGGGACCTCTATGATTTGGTCTCAATTATCAAATTCTAGCGCATATGAAATACAAATACGAACATGCGACAATCCTTTTTCGTTTAAAAAAGTCTACCCAGTTTTTGTTTTAACACACTAAATGAATAAACTGAATCTACTTACGGCTCTCAAAGTTGCGAATTTATTAAAAGAAGTCTTGATATACATTTTATTCAACATTTCGTACTTAATATTCATGATCAGTAACCAATTAAGCCTGGTCTATAGCATCCCTAAATTTATTTTTTAGAACTCATTACTGAAAAGTGTCACTTTTTGATACTGTTTTGAAAAACATAATTGCCTAATTCAACCATTCCATAACAAAACGATATAGTGGTTCCAGAATTTCGTAGCAATTGGTAGTTTTTTCCTTATCGAAAAATATTAGACCCTTTTTTTATTTTCTCATTAGGGTGACCATTTCCATATTAGTGTGGTTCAAAAATCGATTTTCTCTATTTTTTTTCTCCCAAAAATGACATTTTTTTAAATCATAACTTTTAAACAACTGAGCCGATCTCAGGTTAAATGAAAGGTTATTAAAAATACTTTTTAGAATAAATATTAAAAGTTTTAAAAATTGAAGTTTTGTACAGAATAACTTTTATTGTATTTGTTTTTTATGGTTTTCATCGTTTGTATTTTTCTTCGGTTTTGAGTTACGATTTTTAGAAATTATCATGTTTAGAAATATCGCTCATTACTCCAATACGACTAGATTACCCTGCATTGATACATATTGAATGTAACATGGTTAAATTACTCACTTATTTCAATAACGCCCATTGTCTACAAACCATGAAAACCATAAAAAAAACAAATACAATCAAAGTTCTTCTGTACAAAACTTGGCATATATTTTCTGAAAAGTATTTTTAATAAACTTTCATATGATATTTCGATCATTCAAATCGGCTCAGTGGTTCAAAGGTAATGATTTTAAAAATCATTTTTTGAAAAAAAAAAGGCGAAAATCGATTTTTGGACCACCCTAACATGGAATTGTCTCCCTGATGAGAAAATAAAAAAATTCGGTCCTATGTTTTTCGATAAGCAACAAAACTACCCATTGTTACGAAATTCTGAGAACCACTATATCGTGTTGCTATTGAATGACTGAATTTGTATGACTTAAACAACAATGTCGAAAAGTCAAAGGGTAAGTCACTCAGCACATTGTGCCGAAATTATAGCTTGGGCACATCCATCGGCACAACTTCGGCTCAGTCTCGTAGGCATTTGATTGTTGAAAATAAAATAGGGCACTGCTGGTCACTGAAGTTTGTTTTAACTAGCACGTTTATTTGGAAGGCTCAATCGCGTTAGCTTTACGGAGCTGATAGTTCATTGCTCTTTGTTGGAAACCTCCCACCTTCCCACACTGTTTTCGAGCAAGAATAAAATTATACATTTCTGTACGTCAGAGTTTTTTTAACTAACTCTTATTCTAGAAACTTAATTTTAATCATAACTTGGACGTTGAATTAACTAGGTGCGAATTAACGGGAGGTTACTGTGTTCCTTTCTCAACTACCATTTTGTAATCGAGTTTATGTTTTCTTTACAGTTAGTTGGATACATTAATAAAGACTTACTAACCAAGATGGTAAATGTGAACGTCGCCTTCATCGTTGGATACAGTCAGGTTTATCGCAAAAACCGATTTGCCGTGACACATCGCAGAGTCCATCTTTAAGAAATCGAGCTTATTGCGAAGTAACCCGGCAAGTTTCATCATCATCATCATAAGTTCTTTTCTAATTATATCGGCTGCCCCACTAACGAGAGGCGGCAGTTGGTTCATTCAACAGTTCAATCAACCAGTGGAAACTAACGATTTTAAATTGGCTCACTACTTCACTAACCTATTGGTCCCAAGCAAATCGATTAACGTACCCCATTCTGAGTCAAAATTCTAGTCCTACACAATGTTTGTTTTGATTTGCTATGAAATTTTGACAGATAGAATGAGGGGTTCGTGGATTTCCTATGTTTCGAGGGGTGCACTGATTAGCTTGGGACCGAAGATAGTACCAGAGCTGAGCCAAAAAGTTGAGCACGTTTCTTCGGGACATACTAGTCTTAGAGTTAACTTTATGGTTTAATTGCCTTCCATTCCGGATAACAAAAAGGCAAATTGTTCTCAGCAACTAACATGAGTGTTCCAAGAAGAACTCTCTTCCCTGCTGTGTCCACCAAAACTTTTGCACTTTTTGTTCGCTAAGTGGTACTCGATTGCCCATCGCCACATCCGGATGGATTGTGAGAAAATGTCGTTTGAAATTAGCGTTTCTTGTTCATACGGATACCGTTTATCAATATTGATATCAATCAACTTTTTTATCCACTCCTGACTCCTGCCACTTCTTCCACTTCATCACTATATTTTTTTTTCGGCAACGATTCACGACCTTTACAACTCATCGTGTCGAATCAACTACTCCCGTTCGCGTTGAAGAATGAACTAAACGCATCTTCGTGAGGATCAACGCATGATCATCACGCTGATGCGAAAAACCATTCGCATCGTCATGAAGACTAATAGGGTGTTTACACTTATGCTATTTCACCAGTGCTAATGAGCTAGCTGCTAGCAAAAAAGCTCACTAGCATAATGTAAACAGGGCATCAGCGTCTACCAGCATGAAATTTCAGGAGCAACAGAAATTCGTGCTAGTTGGTGAGTACACTAGCGCGATTAAATCCACACAAATGTAAACACCCCATAAAGTATAAGCAGAACGCCCTCCACTGCTCGCGATGCGAACGACGAAGACAAGAAGAGCATAAAGCACGACGATTTGAGTGGTGCATCGGCACTCACATTCCTCTCTCACCAAGCATTCTTTACGATTTGCTCTTAAGTGGGCATCCACATCATTCAAGAGTTTGGCTGAGATACCGATGCTTCGAGTACCGTCGCACACGATGAACGAATATGAGAGAAATGATGCGAATATCAGTAACCTTGAGAGGAACTCAGACCAGCAGTTCACTTTTCGGTTCACTTAAGCTGGATTTAGATAGGGCAAGTCAATTGATCAAGTCAGTTGAATTCAACTGACTTGAACGCGAATTGAACGTGTAAACCATGCCATTCAACTGACTTGATCAACTCACTTGAATTGGAAAAAGTTGAACCTCGCTCAACTTTTCAAGCCAATTGAATTCAACTGAGTTGATCATTTGACTTGCCTAATCTAAACCCAGGT